AGTCGTCTTTTGGGCTTTCCGACGCTCCCAAACGGCCCAAGAGGCCCCCAAGACCGCACCAAGATGGTCCAATAAACCTCCAAGACGGCCCCAAGACAGCCCAAGAGGGCGCCAAGACGGCTCAAGAGGCGCCGAAGACGGCCCAAGAGAGCCCCGAAAACGAGCCCAAGAGCGCTCCAGGGCGCTCCAAGTGGCTTCCAAGAGAGCTCAACATGGTCCCACACGGTCCAAGAGCGATCGAAGACACCCGAGATGGCCTCCAGCTGGCCCAAGACGCCCCCAAGGGGCCTCCAAGATGCGTCCCAAGAGGGTCCCTAGACGCAAAAAAATGTTCATTTCCTTCGTAAAACGCATAGTTTTCCCAAATTCGCCTGGTGGGCTTTCCGACGCTCCAAGGCGGCCCGAGAGGCCCCGAAGACCGCCCCAAGACGACCCAAGAGGCCCCCAAAACGGCCCCACGACGGCCCAATATGGCCCCAAGACGGCCCAAGAGGTCCCCAAGACGGGCCAAGAAGGCTCCAGGACGGCACCAAAAGGGGCCCAAGAGGGCAACCAAAAATTCAAAAATCTAGTTTTCCGCCCCCACGAGCCCCAGGGGGCCCCAAGAGTGCCCCAAGAGGCCGCCAGAGGCCCCCAAGAGGCCGCCAAGACGCCCCAAGGAGCCCCCAAGAGGCCCCCAGGAGGCCCTCAAAAGACCCCCATACGCTTCCGTACTGCGAGCCGTCAAGCCAACTGCAATGCACTCCGCGCATGCAGCCTTGCTCTTCCTCGCGACGTGCTCACAATCTTGCTCGGCGCTAACGTGCTGCTGCCACGCGAACTGTTTCGTGCGCGCTGCGAACGTCAACAGCCTCTTCACCCGTTTCGACTCATCTGCCACATCTTTCGCGGCGATGCTTCGCTGATCGCAGTTTCCGCACGCTACTCTTGCTCCTTTCGTCTTCCGGTGGTCCTCCACTTGGTTGCGGGTCGAAAGGCCGACCTCCCAGAAGGACACCCCGCACCCGGGTGCACAGCACGCAAGGCGCTCGCAAAACACGTCCCAGACCACTGGCATCACGCAAACATTTGGACCCCCTGCGTATCTGCCACCACCCGCGCGCGACACCGCACCCTCACACAAGACGCCGCTGGCCAGAAACTCCTGGCCTCGCAACAGTCACAGAAGGGGTCGGCGGATGTGGCGTAAGCCTGTAGAATCTAGTAAAACATGACCCAACATGTTTTTATTATTTACAAATCGTCCCCACACAACTTTTGACAAGTTTCAATACTCCTCCTGTAGAGGGACATGCCCGTCTTAAGACTAGGAAGACAACGTCGGCCAGCCTGCGTGCCGCAGGCGCCGATTTGGTCGAAGCAGTGTCGCGGGGTGCGCCGCATATGGTTCTGCGCCAACGAAGCCGTGCACAGCGACAGCCACACCAAACACCGACCGAACCGACAGCGAAACCGAAAACATCGACAGGCCGCAAACAGCCTAGAAGAGCGCGACGACGCGGCACCTGACTACCTACGACAGAACGCGTTTCACGGGCGCTCGCCTGGGGAACATTCGGCGACGCGTTTCGAACCGGGGGGTGGGCCCCCCCCCACACTCGGCGCCGTCGATCGAAACCAAAGGGGTTCCCCTCTCCCCCACCCCCCACCCCTCCCGACCCCCCCCCCCCTCCCAAGGGGTGGGGGGGTTCAGCCCCCCCCCGCCCTCCCACGGGGGGGGAATCAAAACCCCCCCTCTCCCCCCCTGGCGCTGGCGCCTGCGCTGGCGGCCGCCAGCAGCGATCACGGCGGGGACGAAGCGACGATGACCAGAGGCAGCCCAGGGGGGGGGGTTGGACCCCCCCCCCTCCCCCTGGCGCCAAGGCGGGGGGGGTTCAAACCCCCCCGGCCCCCCCCCCCTCCTCCCCCTGGCGCCAAGGGGGGGGGGGGTTCAAACCCCCCTGGCCCCCCCCTCGCGCCGGCGCTGGCGCTGGCGGCGGCCAGCAACGCTGGCGCTGGCGCCGGCGACGGCGGGGACGCAGCGACTCTTACCACCACGACCACCACCACCACCACCACCGCCGCCTCAACCCACCACCACCACCACCACCAACAGCACCACACAACCACCACCACCACAGCCACCACCACCACTACAACCACCACCACAACTCACCATCACCACCACCACACAAACCCACCACCACTACCACCACCGCCACAATGTACCACACCGACAACCCCCACCCCCACAACCACCACCACTGCCAGCAGCCAAAAGGCCACCAAGTGCTCCAAGAGGGCCCCAAGACGGCCCGGATGCTTCCAAATCGCTTAAGATGGCCTCCGAGACGGCCCTGAAGCACCCCAAGAGGGCCCCAAGTCGGTTCAGAGAGGCTCCCTGAGACGCCTTCCGACGGCGTCTTGGGGGCCAGGACCGCCCTAAGACGGCGAACGAGGCCCTCAAGAAGCCCCCAGAGGCCCCCAACAGGCCCAAGGAGACACCCAATAGGCCTCCAAGAACACCTCAGGAAGCTCCCAGGAGACACCCAAGAGGCTTCCTCCTTCTCCTCCTCCTCCTCCTCCATTTTCCTCCCTCTCCTCATCCTCCTCGTCCTTCCTCCACATGTTCCCCGAGGGTTTCCAAAACGGCTGGGGGAACATGGTCCAACAGCTTGGCCAAACATTGCCCAAACGTTTGGCCACATTGGCGCATCCTACAAGACAGGGGGGCGGCGGTGATTCGCCGCAGGCGCCTTCGATAATTGCAAGCACATGCGAAGGAATAGTGAGTCTCGGTCAGAGGCGCACTGCAGCCATCGCGCCACCAGGAGGAATGCCGCTGAGTGAGGAATGGAGAACTTGCTCCTGGCCGCGGCGAGCCTCGGTCACGAGTAGGTCACAAGACCCGGATCTAAGAATCGGCCCGGAAATCAGACCCTCCCGAAATCATCCGAAATCCACCGACCCCCGCTTGCCCAGGGTGATAAAGCACGTGAGACATCTGGCCGTCCCCCCTCCCTTTTTCCCCCTCCCCGGTAACCCAAAATCCAGTTTAAGGAGGAGGTCTCCCCCCCCCCCGTGGACGAGCTCGCCAACGCACACCTGGGGCCTCCCAAACCGAACAATCCAGCCCCCGCGCCTCCAAGATGCCCCAGACCCAAGACGGCTCAAGAAGGGCGCCACCTCCACTAGAAGGCCTCGAAAGCACCCAATATGGCCTCAAGACGGCCAAAGAGGCCTCCAAGACGCCCCGAGAAGGCTCCGAGGAGACAAGATGGATGAACAAAAACAGGAATCGCCCAGATCTGTAGGAAAGTGTGCATTTTCAGCGCATTCGCATGTCTAGACTTAACAGCGTCCAAAACGGCCCAAGAGGCTTCGAAGATGGCTCCAAGACGGCCCAGAGGAACCCAAGACGGCCCAAAAGGCCCCGAAGACGGCCCAGGAGGCGCCCAAGACGGCCCAAGAGGGCCACAAGAGGGGGAACTCGAGAAGGCCCCGGGGGCCCTCCCCCACAAGACCTCAGATTTGACCCTAAGAAGCCCGCGACAGTCCCCCGAGAAGCCCACAGAGAGCCCCAAGTGTCCGCAGGAGCCCCAGCAAATCTCTCAAGAGCCTACCCAAGGCCTTCAATGAGGCCCGCAAGAGGCTCTGCACCAGACCTGGCTTCAGGATGCTCGCGATGCGAAGTGCTACATGGTACGGGCTTGTGCTCGGAAGGCTTGTCCAAGACGTTCCGTTCAGGTAACATGTAAATATGTGTATATATACATATATATACACATAAATGTACACACACACACATATATAGTGCTCCTGGGGGGTCGGCGGAATGGCGTAAGCCTCTTGATTCAAAATGGTCCTGACCTCGGCATGTTAACTATCATGCATCTCGGCCGAGGGAAGCACCACCCCACTTCGACAGAAGGAAGACAAAGGGATACCCGTCGGTCGGAAGAAGCAGGAAAAAACATGAAGCAGGAAGACGGATCAAGTAGATGGAGCTCAGGCCCTCCCAGAGAATGACAACAACACACTGCAACCGCGCATCGAATCTCAAAATAGGAATGCGCTTGAAGTAGATTGGGGTCCGGGAGTCCAGAAATACAGACTTTCAACGACCGGCGTTTACTGGTCAGGGCCGGACATGGTGGAAGGGGCCCGCCCTGGCCCCCTTCTCAAGCAGCTTCTCGGGCCATCCGATTTCGCTCCGAGCGCCACACACAGTGCCCGACGCGCAATTCTCGTCGCGCCCTCGCGCCCTCGCGCCCTGGAGAAAGCCGCATGCTCCTGCCCGGGCCGCGACGAAACGCGATGGCCTTCGCCTTCCCGCGTGACCTGGAGCCTCCCTGTGGCACCAGCAGCGTTTTACTCGGGGCTCTACTGACCCAGGTCAATGCAAGCCAAGGTCAGTCGGGTCTTGCAGGATCCTAGAAGATCCTGCAGGATCCTGCGCGCAAGCCCGGGTCAGTGCGCCCTGGGCTCCGAAGGATACTGCAAGATGCGGCGCTCTGGCTGACCACCGTTTGTACAGCGCCGATAGATCGGCGACCTGCCTCCTGGACCCCTATCGGCGATCCATTGGCGATTAGGGGTCGGGGTCGCTTCATCCCCCCCCTCTCATGAGCCCCCGTTTCCTGAGCCAAGAATTCTACGATGGGAGCCAGATCTCCCGCGGGGCGCGCGGAGCCTTGGGCCTCTCCATGAGCGCCCTCGTCAGCTGCGGGTGCCTCTGGCGGGGCACAGCGCTCCCCCCCTCCCCCGTGGTCGGGCGGGGGACGAGGAGTCCAAGAGGGGGACATGGAGGAGGGTCGGCAAAACATGGCCCGAGGCGCGTGTGCGGACGAGACGAGGGGACGACGAGGGGGGGCCAGGGAACGCACCGACAAAAGAGGGGGGGGGCCCAGAGATCTGGGAAATGTCGCGGCCGAGGCCATGCGATCCACAAGCGCGCACACACACACACACACACACACACACCTTGGAAGCAGCAGCCGCCGTTCCAGCTGGGGACGCAGATGCGTAAGGCCCAGTCCTGGGGACCTGATGCGCCGCCAGAGGCCAAGCCGCGAGAGCCCAGACTCGTCCGCCTGGGCAGGCGGGAGCGGGCCATCCTGGCCACGCGTATGCGCCGCATGGCTCGGCACTGGCGCCCTACCCCGTCGCTGGGGACCACGGCTCAGGACCGCAGGCACTGGGACTCCTACTGCGTGCCGTACATCTTCCACCAGCTGGGCTCTGGGGAGTACACAGCCATGCTGGACGACCTGGCAGCCACCACGGGCAGCGGATCCCGAATTGCCGAGCGCATGAGGATTGCACGGGAGTTGGGTGACGAAGCCTGGAACCGTGGAAGGGGATGCCAGGCGCCTCCAGCGGCAGTGGTTGGAGCATCTGCAAGTGGCTAATCAGGATGCTTTCGAGCGTGAGGCGGCTCAGCAGGACCGCGCCCAGTCAGCCGCGGAGCGGTGGTTCGACCGCCAGTCCCAGGCGACGTCGGGAACGCAGGCCCCCACCGTCTACTTCGACGACCGCATCCACTGCTGGAGGTTTTGCGCCGCGAAGGTGCTGGAGGCCGACCTCGGCCCATCCACCTCGACTGGGACCTCGGGGCAGCCGCTGTGTTGCTCTGCCTCGCCCGTTGAATGCACCGAGCTCACTCCCACCCCAGCCGCGTGCAACCTCACGGACGAGCACCGAGGAGCTGCCCCATGTATTTCAGCTGGTGGTCTCTCTGCCGTCCGAGGCAGCCCAGATCAGCTTACGTCAGTTGGTGGTTTCTCTGGCTCAGCTGTTTCAACGGGCGATGGTCTCTCGGCCGCCGATGGTGGCACCCAGGCGCAGCTTAGTTCAGTCAGTGGTGTTTCGGGCTCTACAGTTTCCACGGATGGTGGTTTCTTGGCCGCTGGAGGCACCCAGGTGCAACTTACGTCAGGCCGTGGCCCCTCTGGCTCAGATGCCTCAACTGTAGATGGTTTCTCTGTCGCCGTTGGAGGCACCCAGGAGCAGCTTACGCCAGTTGGTGGTTGCTCGGGCTTTGCTGCTCCCACAGGCGGGCCTTTCTGGGCCGCTGGAGGCCCCCAGGCGCAATTTACGTCAGATGGTGGTTTCTCGGACCCAGTTGTTACAGCAGGTGTTGGTGGCTCTGCCCACGGAGGCAGTCAGGCGTTGCTTACGTCAGTTTTTGTTTCTGCAGGTTCAGCTGTCTCATCTGGGGAAAGCCACTGCGGCCCTGGGCAGCCTGACATCATCGAGATGGCCCATGAGACTGTGGCACACCCTACCGAGGGCGGGGACGTCAGTGTCGGCAGTGTTGGCGGCCAGTCCACCTGCAGCGGGACTTCGGCAAAGCCCCAGTGCGACGTCGCCAAGTATCGACCCTCAGCAGCAGGAGCCCGCAGAGGCAAGCGTCGACAGCGGAGCCACAGGCGCTTCACCTTCCACAGCGTCAATGCCAGCCTCAGCTGGGGCAACGTTGTGGGCTACCTCCACGGCGCGGCACACCAGCAGCTCACCGAGGGCAAGATTCCGATCATCGGTTTCCAGGAGCACGGCAAGCGGCGTTTATGGGCCGAAGAGAGCGCACGGGCCCTGCTGCCCTTGGGCTGGAGGGCCCTGCCCACGCCAGCGACGGACGGCCCGAATGGAGGGGCCTCGGCGGGCGTCTTGCTGGCGATACCTGCCTGCGTCGGCGTCACTCTTGCATCTGTACAGCGACACTGGGACATATCTCCCCCAGGTTGTGCAGGCAGGCTCCTGATGGCCACCCTCGAGGCCAAGGGCATCGGCAAGTTACTGGTTTTCTGTGCGTATTGCTTCACTGGTCAGAAGTTGGCGTCTGTGGGCAATTCAGCTCTCCTGTCAGTTATCACGGGGTGGGCAGTCCAGCTCCAGCTGCCCTGGATCGTCATCGCGGACTGGGGGAATCTACCTGGCGCTTTGGAGCGGTCGCCGTGGAACAACCAGCTCAGGGGCCGCGTCGTAGCGTGGCAAGGGGAAGGGGGCACCAACCGCTCCCCGCACGGTGAGCGCGTGATCGATTATTTCTGGATGCGCTCCAGTTTGGCTGCCAATATTTCCCCAGCCCGCATTGACGACGACGCGGTCTACCACCCTCATAGAGCCACATGGGTCGAGTTTCAGCAGCCTTGGTCGGCCTTTACCTACACCAAGCTCATCCGACCCCACAAGTTCCCGATCCCAGGAGTCAAGCCGAGGCACTTCGATCTCTCGTGCCCAGACGTGCCTGCAGGTTTCGACCCCGATGCGGTGCCTACCCAGGAGCTCCTGGACGACACCTGGGCGGCTTTCTGCCACGCCGCCGAGGAGGAGCTGATCCAGAAGGTGGGTTTGGACCCCAGCAGTCGGCAAGCCGATCAATGCCGAGGGCGTGGGGGGACCACCGCGCTTCAGGAAGTGCCCGTTGCTCCCGACCCACACCGAGGCCATCGCTTCGTACGGGGAGGCCAAGCGTTGGAGGTGGTTTGCCGGCGAGTTGGCTTGGCTGGGCATCATTGAAGTAAAGCTTTTCAGCTACACGGGCGCTTCCGACCTGGTCCTCACCACGTTGCACCAGCAGCGGCACGCCTCCATCCGCAAGTTGCGTGACCGCTTCAGGCACCACATGCTGTTAGAAGGCGTGGCTGAGCTGCAAGAGTTCTTCGAGGTTTTCACGTCTCGGGACCGCGGCTATGAAGACTTGCAGGAGCTCTCGGCTTGGCGCCTCAGCTGCAGTCAGCATGCCTCGTACTTGGAGTGGCAGATCGGCAAGGAACGACGAGATTCCTTCAAGCAGCGGTTGGAGGACGACTTCCCAGGCTCGCAGGGGCTCCTCCACAGGGTCACCAAGTGGCGCCAGGCTTGGCAGGCTCCCAAGGGCAGCATCTCCAAGAAGCTGCTCCCAGCGGCGCCTCAGGCCGCCGTGGACCAGGAGTTGCACGACTGGTCGAAGGTCTGGACCACTGGCTCAGGTTTCCCCAAGCCGTGGAGGGGCCTCCAGCAAGTCGCCGTCACGCCGCCCAGCCCTCACCACCTGCGCGGTTTGGCCCAGCGTTTCATGGCCAAGACGGGGGTTGGCGTGGACGGATGGCAACCCAAGCTTTGGGCCTACCTCACGGACGGCACGCCCTCGGTGCTCGCGTCATTGCTGGCCTGGTGCCAACAACTGGGGCGGTGGCCGTCCCAGGTCCACCTCCTGCTCGTTTTCATCATCGGGAAGCTCGATGGAGGGGGCCGACCCATCATTCTTCTACCTGGCCCTTGCCGAATCTGGGAGGCGTGGCAGCTGCCCACCATCAGGAACTGGTTGGCGGCGCACCCCAGGAGCTACGACTACACGGCGGCGGGCCAATCATCGGAGCGCGCGCTGTGGAAAGCTTTGTTGGGCGACGAGCTCGTGTTGGGCACAGGCATACGTGCGGCCACGATGCTGGCGGACCTCGCCAAGTGTTATGAGAAGGTTCCGCATGAGCGTATGTGGTGGCTAGCAGCTTGGTGGGGCGGCCCGCTGGAGGTGGTCGCGCTCGCCCTGGAAAGTTTCGCCTTTGGCCGTGTCATTCGTCTCGGGGAGGCCTGCTCGGCGGAGGTCCTGTCCTCCACAGCGCTCCCAGCGGGCAGCCGTTTCGCGCCCACCTTCCTGAGGTTCTACCTCGCGCTGTGCTTAGACGACCTGCTGGGGGTTTTCCGCCTCACGATCTACTTGTACGTTGATGACATCGCCCTGCGGGTCATGTCCACCGAGGCGCGCGTCTTGCACATGCTGCCGCAGGCCACGCGCTTGCTGTTTTGGATGCTTGAGTCCTTCTTGGGCCTGGAGGTAGCCCGAGCGCGGGGCGGGGCGAGAGGCAAGTGCTCTTTCCTGCAAACGGCCACTCCGTCTTCAGGCTTGACGCAGGCCATGGCCGTCCTGGGAGTACCGCCCAGCACATCCGAGCGGTGGCTCGGCATCGACTACGGTCCCAGCGTCAAGACAGAGAACCAGTCAGCCCCAGTCAGACACGCGCGGCTCAAGATAGCCAAGCAGCGTTGGCCTAAGATCCGCGGCCTTCCTCGTGCACGCGGGGGCAAGCTCAAGATGGTCGTGCGGCAGGGCCTCGGAGCCTCGGTCGCCTACGGCGCCCGTGTCAGCGGCACGCTCAGGCCCATCGTGCGTTTCATCCAGCAGAAGGATCGGGCCGTCCGCAGGGGCGCCACAGCTGTTACCTCCCGGGTCTTGCACGACGGCCTCGACCCCAATTGCGCCGACACCCTCGTTCTGGCACCGCTGCTGGCTTGGGCGAGGGAAGCTTGGGACCACCCAGAGGGGCGGCGTGCGCAGGCCACAGCATGGGCCCGAGTGCAGCAACAGCTCGCGCTGTGCATGTACGCCGACGCTCAGGAGTTGCGGTCAGTGGTGCGCGGCCCAGCGGGGGGCACCTCAGTCACAGTTCGAGCCCATGGTTGGAGCATGCCGTCAGCCTTCGAGATTGTCTTGCCTCCACGTGGCGGGGTGCTCCAAGGAGGGGACGTCCATCTTGATCTACTGCAGATTTGCCCCAAGTCGGTCGAGGCCGCCGTGCTTTTGGCCGCCCGTTCCAGAGCCCTGTGCCAGTGGGCGGCGGCTCAGCCCGAGCGGGCTGCGCTCCTGCCAGCGCCGTGGCCCACCCCAGCGAGGCAGTTGGTCAAGCGGCGCAAGCAGGACGGGTGGCTGCAACACCATGCCGACGCGGTCAAGAAGGCGGTGTTGGGCGGTTTCCCTTCGCAGGAGGCCCTTTTCTCTTCGGGCCAGGCGGGCACTCCGCATTGCCAGCTTTGCGACGACACGACCTGCTTCGGCACCCGCCAGCACTATTACTGGCGGTGCGGCAGCCCGACGCGTGCTACGGTGAGGGAGCAGCTGACGGCCCACGACGCGTCACCTACCTTCAGAGACGTCGGCCACCTGGGCGTGTCGGCCTCCTCGTCGGAAGCCTCAAGATGGTTGTGGGGAGCGGGGTTTGCGGCGAACGCCATGTTACGGCTTGGCTTGGAGTCTACCGTCGCAGCGCACCCATTGGATCGTCAATGGCGCGGCCCCCGAGCTCACCGATGTGCTGGTTTCGGACGGATCAGTCAAAGGCTTGGATGACCTCAGGCACGGCGGCTGGGCGGCTTTGCAGTGCACAGCGGAGGCCGACGACGTGGTGCAGGGCCTGCACGGCCCACTGCCCTTTCCCGACCCCAGCTCGGTCCTGGCAGAGTTGTGGGGTCTCCTCCACGCCCTCAGGCATTCGGTCTTCATCACGGCCATCATCATTGACAATGCTCAGGTGGTCCAAGGCTTGGCTCGTGGCAGGGCATGGTGTTGTTCAGCGGCCAGGCCCTATGCGCACGTCTGGCTCGAGATCTGGGATCGCCTGGATGACATGGACATCCTTCCTGGCAGAGAGTTGTCGGTCATCAAAGTCGCCTCGCACATATCGCAGGCCAAACGCCTAGAGCTGCCAGAGGAGGTCCAGATTCACATGAGGCACAATGACTTAGCCGACGAATGGGCCAAGCAAGGAGCAGACCTCAGCGCGCCGCCAGAGTGGGCCACGTTGCAGGTCAAGCAGGAGCTCAAGGCCACCAAGCGCGTGCTCGAGTACATCGGGCACTTCAGGGTCCTCCTCGACGGGGTCAAGTTGGCGGAGCCTAGGCCCAAACGACAGCAGGGCCAAGAGGCCAACATTCCTCAGGCTGCACGACCCCAGGCTGGTCCCAGGCACCCGCACGTTCTGGAAGTGTGCCGCGGTTATGCCAAGTGCACCAACTGCGGCAAGGTTGCCCGCACTCGCCTCGCGGCCTTTCAGTTGCAGGAGTGCCGTGGCCGTCTCCAAGGGCTCCAGGGCAAGTTAGTCAAGAGTGCGGCCAAGAGAGGCAGTGTGGCGGTGCCTCTTCTCGTGGCGGCAGGCGCCGCCGCTCGGCCTGTGCGACAGCGAGCAGACCATGGAGATCAGGGTGAGCCTCGAGTAGAGCCCGGCCCTGCGCCTGCCTCCCAGCTGGGCCCCGACCCGCTGTGGGCTCCTGTCGCAGCAGCCCGCGCGGCTCTTGGCAGGATGGAGCGGATACCTGACGGCCCTGTCTGCATGGGAACCCCGCCAAGCCAGCCACACATCACGCCCGAACAGCAGCATGTCCGTTCCATCATGGACGATGCCATCATCTGGGCGTCTTTCTGGATCGATCGTTTCGACGTGGCAGGCTTCACCAACGAGTGGGACTATCGTACGCGGTGTTCGGAATATCTTGAAAGGTTTCTCAGCTCGGCGGCGTGGGCACCAGTTCGAGAGCATCTTCTACGTAACAACCCTGGCCGCACTCTCGGGCAGGTCGTCGACGACCTATGCGCCACCTCTTGGACGCGTGCCGAACCAGCCCGTCAGGCTCAGTTCGCCAGGGTACGGCCTGACTCGGGCTTGACAGCCAGGCAGCGCCGTCGGCTGCTTCGGCATCACTTCGATGTGTTGAACCAGGTCAGGGAGCGTTTCGGGGATCTTCTTGGAGATCGTGCCCCGCCTGAGACGGCCTCCTGGCACCAGTGGGTCTTCGAGCCCCTCTCCTCGGATGACGACCAAGGAGGTGATGCGGCAGGCCGCGCCGCCGAGGACGCCCATGGCTACGACGATACCGACGAGTTCGCGGCCCTCAGCGTGCACAGCGACCTCGAGGTGGTGGAGGCAGACGGCAAGGCCACGCAGGCCACAGGCACCCAGGCGTCAGAGCGCGAGTCGTCGCCCAATCCCGACCTCGCCCCCAGGGCACTCCAGCCACAGGAGGAGGGAGCTCCAGCGGGAGGTGCGAGGCGGGAGGGTGTTTTGCGGATCCGCAGTGCGGCAGCCACCTGTACCCAGGACGTGGACGACGGTGCTACGGCTGGCGCTGGGGCAGCTCCTGTTCCCACGGTGCCGCCTGCTGCTCAACCCGCTGGCGAGCCTGGAGCTGATCAGGGCGACTTGGCCAGCTCCCTGGACGTGGACGGCAAGGCTGCCACCCAGGCGGCGGCCGCTGTGTGCTCCGCCCCCTTGACGGCACACCAAGCTCGTGCTGGCCAGGGCAGCCTGAAACACGGTGGTAAGGCCCCAAGGACTGGTTCCTCAGCATCCTCGGCGGCGGCGGCGGGCTCTGGCCAGGGCGGCCTGGCACCGCTGGCGGGGTCCCCGCCGCCCTCGGCTGGGGCTGCGGCGGCCTCGGAGCCAGAGCGGGGTGCGCGCGGGCGGGCGGCCTCTGCCCAGCCCGCCAGGAGTGGCCAGGCGCTGCCTGCGACGGCCAGAGCCGCTTCATCGGAGCCTCGGCCACATACGGTCGAGATCATTGGCAACTTCGTGGTCTGCGTCGTGTGCGGTTCCTACTACAGCTCGGTGGCCAGGAACCTCGGCGGGCCGTGCAGGCGGCTGGACCCGCGCGACCCAGGCGACAAGGAGCGCCTCAGGCGCATTCGCCGCATCCAGCGCGGCCAGGACCCAAAGACTGGAAGGGATCTGAGTTGAGGCCGTTGTGCTCGTTCAATGATCTGCCTGGTCTCAGTGCGTGCGGCCCCCTTTGGCGCGGTGTTATCCGTGAGCTGAGGGGCCTGGGCGGGGCTGCCGCCCCGCTCGGGGCGCTCGGGCCTGCTTCCCCGCGTTGCGGGTGGCCTGGGCGCGGCGCGTTTCTCGCTGCGTTTCGGCCCCCCTTGGCAGCAGGCTGAGGGGCCTAGGGTGGGGCGCGGCCTCGAGAGGGCCACGGCGCCGCCGCCCTGGGGAGCGCGCGGGGGCGCTGCCCGCGGCTCGGCTCCTTTCGGGCTCGGCAGGCGACGGACGTCGCTCGAGGGCCCAGCGCACGGGCCTGGCGAGGTGCAGACGCCCCAGGCCGCCGACGCACCAAAGCACCAAAACACACACACACACACACACACACACACACACACACACACACACACACACACACACACACACACACACACACACACACACACACACACACACACACACACACACACACACACACACACACACACACACACACACACGTTGGCCCTCACCCCCCTTGTCTTGGACACCCCCGAGCTGGGGCAGGGCTCGACGGGCGGCCCAGTGAGACCCCCAGCCCGCGAGGCTCGACGCTCCAAGGCCCTGGCGCTTCTGGATGTCCTCAAACCTCCCCATGCTCCCCTGACGACTGAAGGTATCTCGCCGCGCGTGGCCTCCCAAGGTCCTCACGATGCCCTGGGATTTCTGGTAGCTGGCCTCAGGGGGTCCACGTGAGAACATCCCGCAATCGGAGATATGGGTAATTACGTGGGTTTCCTCGGGGGCTCTCGTGGCCACGGCTGGACCAGCCTCGAAATGCTGGCCCCGTCGACATGAGGACAAGTCTGGGGGATGATCGTTGACCCGGGGACCCTGTTGGAATAGGTATCATGATGTTAAAGTGCTTGGTAACAACGCGCTTGCTCAAACCTTGCGGATTCACGTGGCTCACGCAACGTGCGATTCTGGAGCATTGTCTGGTGGGCGGTTGTTTTCAAAACTACTCAGCGTCAGCTGCCACCCGAATTTTCTCCTTCACCCGCGCAAGTAGCCAGGGGACGCACTGGGAGAGAATAGGACTGAATCGTCCTTTTCCCCGCGCGTCACCCTCTTCCCCCCTCCATGGGAGTAGAGGCCTCCTAGATGGGATCGGGGCAATGGGGTCGAAGGATCGCGCCGCATCGCCAATTCATAGGCGATGCATCGGCGATGCACGGGCGATGTACCGGCGATGTCGGCGTCGGCATGGCGAAAGTCGGGCTCCGCATTGAACCGCATCGCCGATGCATCGGCGGTGCGGCGCGATCGTCCAACCCCATCTACTCTCACACCATCTGAGATGCCGCGCGTAAAACATAATAGTCCTTTTCCCCGCGCGTCAACCTGTTCCCCTCTTCCGCGAGGGGCAATCTAAAAAAAGAAACAACTGCATAAGCATCAACGTTCGGCGTTCCACTTGGATTTCTTCGGCGTTGGCCCCCCCTCCCTGGCGCGCGGAGCGCGCCAGGAGCGGCGCCGCCAGGGGGGCCCACCGCGGATCCAACAAACCCGCGCGGATCGCCACAACTTTATGTTTATGGTACTTTGTTCCAGCTGGGGCAAGGAATTCTTGTTTGACGACGGGCAGCAGCACGCCGAAAAAAAACAGTGTGTGAGAGACGGAATCAATCGCAAGGCTTGCCAGCTCCACCCACGGCAGTGGGGAATTAGAAGATTCAGAGGAAATTGAGCAAGCGGAACGTAAAAAAATTAAAGTTGGGGGCTGTAGGGGACGGGCGGTGGGTGCAGGACGAACTTGAGCAACAAAGTGTTGCGGACGCATGGCCGTGCCAGAGTCGCTATGATGCGCCAACTCGATGGGAAAACCGACCATTCACGCGCACGCGCAAACATGATCTCCTTGTCCAGCTGGGGCAGGGAATTCTTCTGTTTGACGACAGGTAGCAGCACGCCAGAAAAACAGTGCGTGAGAGACGGAATCAATCGCAAGGCTGGCCAGCTCCACCCAAACCCGAGTTATGTGACCTGCGCGAGAAATTCTATTTGAGTTGATCGTGGAATACGGACGCCAGGAAGAGAGCGAATTTCTTGGGGCACGCTTGGGCGATACACGTCCTCCAAAGGCCTGCAAAGGGCCTCGCCAAGAGAGCCCAACCTGGGTTTTCCAATCTGGCGACAAACACAGCCTCGAGGATGGCAACGACGTGCGCTTGCATTTACCAAGCCTTTGTCGAAAAAGGCGAACCAAACAGACGCTCCTATTTGCCAGGCCGCCCCCGATTGGCACATGACTGTAACAATCCGAATGCGATATTTCTGTGATGTAAGATGTGAGATATCTGGCAGCTTCCAGAACAGACTATGTCTAATGATTCTCCAGGGCGAAAGGGATCTTGCGTGCCCAACAGAGACAGATTATTCTCAGCGTGGCCCGCACCACTGAGTCAGCAGCCAGCAGCTGAGGGTAACCAGCAGCTTCAGGGATACCCCACGGGCAGCTGGCGGACCTCAGTGCTGGGTGACGGGCCGCGGTGAAGCTCGCACAGGGCGGCGCCATCATGGCGGTCGAAACGGGCCTGGCGGACCCTCCAAAGCAGCCTGCCCACGACGTTGGGATCGGTGGTGTCAAAAGTCGGGCAGTCTTTGATATCGCAGGTGCTCGCCTGTTGGTCGAGAGCGACGAAGGACCTCGACGCGCGGACGACTCCAGCAGACACGTCTAACACCACCATGGCCCGAATTTGGCGCCGCTGAAGACCTGTTCGATGTTTGTCTCGCGCCACTGCATTGCCCTTCGCGTCTGGTCGAAGTTCGAGGAAGCCCTTTGGCACCTGCCCGGCCTTCTGGTAGCGGGCGACGCTGCGATGGGACCTCCAGCGGCCTCTCTTCTGCACTTCGTCGAGGCTCCTGCGTCCTACAACGACGTCCCACGAGGCCCCCGCGTGCCTCGTGGAATACGGCACAGGGCCCTCGACGCCCAGGGACTCCGCTGCGCGGTGGATCTCCCTGGCCAGGTCGCTGCAATCGAAGGTCCACAACTTGGCGCCCCTGGCCGCGCGCCGCTCTTCGAAGGTCTTCGTCGCCCACGGCAACTCGAGAACGCCCCGCGCAACTGAGTCGTCGAAGTCCCCGGTCTCGGTCGGCGCCGCGAGACGACGAGGGCGGGCCAGCCTGGAGAGCCCCGCCCGGTCGGCGGCCCCTCAACGCGAGACTCTCGCCCGGTCGGAGGTGCAGGCACGCGCCCACGATGCGCCAGAGGCCAATCCTGAGCACCCCCCTCTGCAGCAGCCACGCCGCCAGTCCGCGCGCCACCGCCCGCGCGCGAGGGGGCCGCGAGTGGCCTGGGCAGAGCCTCTGCCACCCCGCCAGGGCTCGGCGGGCCCGCGGGAACAAGCGCTCGCCGCGCCGGCCCAGCGCCGGGAGGAAGGCCTCGAAGGCTGCCAGCAAGTAGCTCCCGGCGTGGCTGGTCGCGCCCTCCAAGAACATGTCCTCAAGGTAGGCGGCCGCGAGCGCGTCGCGGTCCTGGTCGCTCAGCTCGGTCCAGACCCTGACCCCGCTGCAGTCCTTGAACTTCCTGACGTGGTCGGCGCGCTGCTAGCCCTCTGCCACCGCGCCCCGCACCAGGAAGCTCTCGTCGCACCCGAGGCCCTCGGCGAAGCGCGTCAGCCAACGGCCCAGCTCGTCCGCGCGAGACTGTCGCGCCGTGGGGTCCGCGGGAACCAAGCCCCCGCTGGCTCCGGCCGCGGGGGCGACTGCTGGGGCCTCGATACCAGGCGGCAGTCGGAAGAGCCTGAGAGCCTCTTCAGGGGCCAAGCCTTGGTTCGAACCGTCAACGCTGGCTCCACCAGGGCGAGAAGGCCGGTCATCAGTCTTCTCACCTCCCGCATGCCGACTCGGTTCGAACACCCTGCTGGCCGCGTCTGCTGGGTTGAGCTCCGACGGTATCCAGCGGTCAATCGAGTCGAGCCCCCGTCCCAACTGGAATGCGCATCGCCGTCGGCAGAAGGTGAGCAACTGTCAACTGGTCGTGCGTCCCTCTTGGAATGAGCCAAGATGGTGCCAAGGTTGTCGCCAAGTTGGAGATGTTTGACCGCCTGCCCAGCTCGAGTTTTACAAAAGTGTCTCAACGACCGCAACGAGGCATGGCACGCTTTCGCGTGGATCGCCTCCAGTCTCCGAAGTCTCCCGCTATAGACGTGCTCCCAAATCGCCTCGGCGAGATCAGGGGGGGCGTGAGAGGGGGCGGAGGAGGGAGGAGGGAGGAGGACAGGAAGGACGAGGAGCACGAGGAGCACGAGGAGCACGAGGAGCACGAGTGGGTGAGTGAGAGGGGGGGCGGGCCTTCTCTCGGACGGCGGCGGGGCTTCTCAGAAAGCCCTCCGGCCTTCGTCGGTTGTACGCAAGGAGTGGCTTTAGGCAAGCTTGGCCTCTGGTGCGCGACTTCCGGGGGCCGCGGGAATGCCAACACCCGAGCGCGCAAGGCGTTGCGATCACATCGCGTTCAGGTCTTCTGGGCGGCCCAGTGTGCCCACACCGAAGGTCACTCTGGCGAAAAACTACTCCTGCGTGTAGCCGATTTCTGAGAAGCAGTCTCTGTCTTCTCTGGCTTCCCCCCGGGCTCGCCGCCGAGGGAAGACTGTGGATGCCTCCAGCGATGCCCAGGATCTTCCGTAGGCTTCCAGGTATCATGGGCGAGGGGCAAAAAGCGCCCAGCGACCTCGATCATGGGGTCCGCGGAAGCCAGCAAAAGGCCAAGGACAAGAATCAACCCCGAGGCGTACCCGACCCTTCCTAAACGCGAGGCCACTATCAATGTGAGTAGGAGCGCTCCATACGCAAGAACACATTGAGAGGTCATTGACCCTCCCGAACGCTTCGCCCAAATACGTCGGACCACACTCAACGCACCCCATTGACGCACGCACCCTCGCAAGTCAGACCGCACAAAGGGCGGAGAGCGCACCCCAAGGAGCGGAGAGGTCTCAACTGGATCCGCGGGTCCCTCCGCTTTGCTGTACCTCCCAGGAGCCCACAAACGTGGCGACAATTGCGCAGTTGGCAGTCCCCTCGGGCAACCCGCGAGGTCTCGACTGGATCTGCGTGTCCCTCCGCTCTGCTGGGCCTCCCCGGAGCTCACGGAAATGGCACGGTTGCGTTTTTCCCCACAGGGTGGGTCCCCCAGTGATCTGGACAAATTCCCAAGGTGCACCTTTTCATCCTGAATCGATGCTCGATGTCCCTTGGCGCTGGGGAACTCGGAACAACCGAAACAGGTACGGAAAGAATGGGGACGTAGACCAAGAGCTATTTCTTTTCATCTTGAACAAGATTCGCTGTCAGCGTCGCCGCGGGCGGTTTCCCCTTCTAGACGAAAGCTCTCCTGTCCAACAACAGCCGCTGTCGGTTTAGAACAACATTTGCTGTTGGGCATCCTGCCCAGTTCTCTTCGTGCCCACTGCGGGCGTAACGAGAAACGGTCTCTAGGGTCGGGGAAGCACTGACTGGGGTCAATCCAAACCCGGGTTTGTCGGGCGTTGCAGGACCCTGCAAAATCCTGCAAGATCCTGCTGGATGCTGCACGCAAGCCCGGGTCAATGCGCCCCTGGCTCTGTAGGATCCTGCAAGATCCCGCGCTATGGCTGACCCCCGTTTGCATTGACCCCCGTCCCTTGAGCCCAGACGGTGAGGGGCAACTCTCGGGGGGGACTGGCAAAGGGGGGGGAAACATCGACCTGGAATCGGCGATACGTCGCCGATAGATCGGCCATGCGCCCCCGATAGCAGAATCCGCACGCTCCTTGGCGGGGTGGGGCTATCGGACCCCTATCGGCGATCCACGGCGATTGGGGGGCGAACCATCCCCCCCTCTGCCCGTCTCCGATCGCTGCCCCTGAGGCGGGGGCGGAACTTCACCCTGCTTTTCACTGCTGCGACGCCCGGCCCCGAGGGGTCGGACGGGGGCCTCGCGCAGGAGCGCAGCATCATGCCGCAGTGCGTGGCGACCTGCGGAGCGGCGGGGAGGCACGGCAGCCGCCGCGGTCGGGGCCGGAGGCCGGCGCGGCCACGGCTCTCTGCAGGGCGAACCTCCACCTCCTCCTTCCTCCTCTCACTCTCCCTTCCTCATACTCCCTTCCTCCTCCTCCTCCTCCTCCTCCTCCTCCTCCTCCGCCTCCTCCTTTTCCTCCTCCTCCTCCTCCTGCCCTCCTCCTTCTATCCAACTTCTTCCTGACTCCACTCCCCTCCTCCTGCTCCTCCTCCTCGTGATCCTCCTCCTCCTCCTCCTCCCTCCTCCTGTCCTCGAACATGTTGACACTTATGATCCTCTCTGAACCTCTGGAGGCCTCTGGGGAGGCGCCCCGAGACTTCTGGAGGCCTCTGCGGGCCTCAGGAGTCCTTCCACCGTCCCCCTCCCCCTCCTCCCCGTCTGCCCATATTTTCCCTTATCCTCTCCTTTCCCTCCGCCTCCCCCGTGCTTGTCCACATCGTCAATGCCGTCTTTCTCACCATGATCAGCATCAACCCCGTCCTCCCCTTCGCCGTCCCCCTCCTCCTGAAAGAACGTCCCTGCTCCTGCAACTGCGTCTCCGATTCATTGCACGCCTGTTCCTCCTGCTGTTCCTCCTGCTGTTCCTCCTGCTGTTCCTCCTACTGTTCCTGCTCCTGCTCCTCCTGGTCCTCATCCTCATGCTCTTCATACTAGTCCCGCTCCATCAACCATTCGCCACCCACCCACCTCGCCCCTTTCCCTCCCCCCCATCCCCCTTCGCCCCTCCGCCTCCACAGCGACTCCGCCCCCGCCTCACTATCCTCCTGCTCCTCCCCCCATGCCCTCCTATTCCACCTCCTGGCCCTGATCCAGGTCTTACCCAAATCCAAGCCCGGATCCAAACCCTGGCCAATAATAATGTTCGGAACCTGCGCTCGAATCCCAATCCAGACCCCAACTCGTATCCGGCGCAGTCGTGACCATGCGCTTGGTCTTCAGCCTCACCCGCATTCCATCCACCGCCTCCGCCTGCTCTCTCCTCCCCTCGCTTATCCTTCCCTCTCTCCGTCCTTCCCCTTTCGGTTGCTCCTGGACACGAGCACGACCCCCCTCGGGAGTATCGAAGATCCGGGACTCGCGCGCTGACGCCGTCGTGCGCCAGTGTAAAAAAGCCTGTCTACACAGTCTGGGGACAGCGGTGCGCCGAGGGCCACCACCGGCCCCAGCGTGATTTAGAGGGCGAAGAACGCGAAGAACGGTATAAAGTAAACTGTCCGCCGTCGGGGACGCCTGTCACTGGGCGGCTGGAAAGTCTATACCCCTACGTGGCACCGTGGAGGTATAAACTTTGCAACTGCTTGGGGGGCAGGCGTCCCGACGACGGAAACGTTTATGTTATACCATTCTTCGCCCCCTGAGTGATCGCCAAACGCTCATGAAGAACACCTACACTGGGCTATCGTGCGGTGCCGCGGCGGGGTAAGGAGGGCGGATCTATTGATGGGGAGGCGCCGGGACAGCAGGGAAGGCGAGGGCGGAATAAAGGGCGAAAGGGGGGGAGGGGGCAGACAGTGAGGTGCTGAGGGTGCTGAGGTGCAGACCACAAGCAGGTTCTCAGAACATTCTCGGGTGGGCCTTCAGGCGAGCCAGAACACTTGGCGGTGCGCACAAGGGGGTGGAGGAAGGAGGGCTTCTTGGAAGGAGGCTGCTTCTTAAAAGGCGCCGGCCGTCCATCTATAGATAAGGCCCGCGCCTTCTGAGAAGCAGGGGTGCTTCTAAGAAGCCCTCCCCCCTCCCCCCACCCTCTACTCTCTCTTAATAATGTCTTAGAACATGAGCCCGAGGTGCTTCAACAAGACCATATCTGCCAGAAGTCTCCTAACAACACTTTGTGCAGCCCACGAAAGGCTCTTAGACCAGTCTCTGGTGGGCCTACAGGCGCCTCCTCCTCCTCCCTCTCCCTCCTCCTCCTCCTCCTCCTCCTCCTCCTCCTCCTCACCTCGCCACTGCTCGACCCATGATGCCAACGAGGAGCCCGCGCGCCCGGGCAGCGCAGCGGGTCCTCCGGCCGGGCGTAGCCCTCGACCTCCGCCAGCGGGCCGAGCGGGGGCCGCCGCGCGGGCTCGAGAGGCCCTACGGCGAGGCACGAAGACTGGGGGGATCCCTCGCCTCCGACGAGGTGTTTCTTTTTCCCAGCCATCCTGCCGTGCTGGGTCCTCGCTTTGAAACCCACAGCGCCCCACGTCCCTCTGGTTTCGTCCCTGCCTCTGCCCTCCGCACCAGTCAACCGTTTCGGTGCCCCCTTCGCACGTTGAGCGGGCCCAAAAGGAACCCACCAAAGGCCAGGGTGGCTACGTTCGCATACGCCTGCCGCACCCATGTCGGCACACCCCTCACACGCTTCGTGGCCCCACACGGGGGCTCCACCGAAAGCCCCAGTGGTTGCGTTCGCACGCGTTCGCCGCATCCATTCCGGCACACCCCTCACACGTTTCGTGGTCACACCAGGAGCTTCACCAAAGGCCCTGTGGCTGCGTTCGCATGCGCCCGCCGCGCCCATGTCAGCGCACCCCTCACGCGCTTCGTGGCCCCACAGGGATCTCCAGCGAAGACCCCGCCAATGGCTGCGTTTGCATGCGCCCGCCGCGCCCATTTCGGCACAACGTTCACACGCTTCGTGTCCCCAATGGGAGCTCTAGCGAAAACCCCAGTGGCTGTGTTCGCACGCGCCCGCCGCACCCATTTCGGCACACCCCTCACGCAGTCCGTGGCCCCATATGAAGCTCCACCGACGGCCTCAGAGGCTGCGTTAGCATGCGTCGGCCGCACGCATTCCGGCACACCCCTGAAACGATTCGTGGCCCCACTGGGAGCTCCACCGAAAACCCCACCAAATGCGTTCGCATGCGCCCGCGCCGCCCATTTCGGCAAACCCCTCACACGGCTCGTGGCCCGATGCGGATCTCCAGCGAAGGCCCCAATGGCTGCGTTCGTATGCGCCCGCCGCACACATTTCGGCACACGTCTCCTACGTTTCGTGTAGCGTAGCTCCACCGAAAGCCCCTGTGGCTGCATTCCTATCCGCCCGCCGCACCCATTACGGCACACCCCTCGCACGTTTCGTGGCCGGCTGCGTTCGAATGCGCCCGCCGCATCCATTGCGGCACACCCCCCAACTGTTTCGTTGCCCCATACGGAATCCCACCGAAGGCCCCAGTAGTTGCGTTCGAATGCGCCCGCCGCACCCAGGTCCTCTCAGGGCCCCCGTCGCGTTCGCATGCGTCCGCTCCACTTACTTTCGGTTCACCACCCTCACTTTTCGTGGCTCCATAGGGAGCACCACCGAAAGTTCCACGGGCGGTGTTCGCATGCGTCCGCCGCGCCTATTTCGGAACATCCCTCACACGCGGCCCCATGGGGAGCTCCACCGAAGGGCCCAGAGGCGGTGGTCGCATGCGTCCACCCCACCCACTTCAGCATACCCGTCACACATTTCGTGGCCCCACAAGGCGCTCCACCGAAGACCCAAGCGGCTGCGTTCGCAGCGCCCGCCGCACTCATGTCGGCACACCGCTCACACGCTTCGTGGCCCCACAGGGTCCACCGAAGATGACATCCACAACTGCTTTACTCACAGCTGCATGTAATTGGATTCTTCGCCAAGCTATACAATTGTGTTACAGCAAATGATTTATCCTCAATTTTGGCCTTTGGGGTTCGGTTTCGGGCCCCGGGACACAGAAACATGGATCGTGGACGAAGACCTGCGTTGGGGAGTGCACGGGACTTGGGGGCACGCATTGAACAATTCACACCCGCGGATGCGACATCCGTCGAAGAGCAGCCATGATGGAGCCATCTGCTTGTTGGTTGCCCTTTTTCTGGGCCGCCCTCGCGGCCACGGTTGGACCGCCCCGAAAACCTGGCCACGACGCATCACAAAGGAGGCCTGGGGGCGGATGTTATGTTTCAGAGGATGCGGGGGGGACACCGAGGAGGGAACGGCTGGAATGCCATGCCGCGTGCGGCCACCCCCCGCGGAGCCCATCCGCCAGTGTTTTGGTCGTTGCCAAACCTCTTCGATCATGGACATGGATCGGGCAGGCGGGCGCGCGCGCGCGTCCGTCCTCTGCGCGCGCGTGTCGGCCGACAGTTTTCGACCCCGCCGCGGTGCAGCGCACGTGGCTGCCGAGGAAGGGGGGAAGGAGGAGGAGACGGAGGAGGACGAGGAGCAGGAAGAGGAGGAGGAGGAGGAGGAGGAGGCCCGCCCCCTGTGGCGCGCCGAGTCTGCGTCTGAGCGCCTCGCGGAAGCACCCTCGCACATCGAGAGCTCGTGCTCTCGTCGGTCGATTCGCAGTCAGACGCATACGGCCTTCGAGGTACTGTCCCCCGATCCGTTGAAGGAAGGATGCGCGAGAGGGGCAGGATCGCCCTCCCCCCTTCCCCGCCCCCCTGCCATCCCCGAGCACCTCGCCATCGCTCGGACGTCCACTCCCCGTGCCTTTCTTCGGCTTCGTGCGTGTAGTCTTGCAGGCCAGCTCCAAATGCTCCTCGATGGTCCCCGCCGAGATAAACCCAAACGTCCGAGCGATGCCACCCGCGCAACCCTCCGCCTCCCGCTCTCTTCCGCCCCCCCGCTCCAGAAGATCCTCATCATGAACGCTGATGCTCTCCTCTCTCCCTCGACCCACTCGCCTGGGCTTGGCCCCCGACGCCGGCGCATAAAGCGACTTAAAGCGTGTCTTTTCGTTCCACTCCGAACGTCCCATAGGCGCCTCGCCCGAGAACATTGAACTCATGGGCGGAAGGGGGAGGAGGCCTCGGGAGTCGAGGGCTTTCAGAAGCCACCCTGGTCTCTCTGGACCTCGTGAGAGATGCTCAGGCCGTGGGGGCCTCCCTGGACATCCTGGGGGCACTTTGGGCCAGCGACACTGGTGACACCCGAAGGAGGCTCTGGAGGCCCCCGGGGACCCCACCTTTAGGATGTTGAGCCTACGGGTGGTGCTTCGGCCAACGCCTCATGCGTCCCTTCATGCGGTCAACGATTGGGGGACGAAGGACGGTATGACAATCATCTTTTCCGCCGTCGGGAACGCCTGCCCCAGGGCGGCTTCACAGTTTGTACCATTCTTCCGCTGAAGCAAACAAGCCACGCCTGTCAGACAGGTGTGAGCATCTGCCGTGCCCAAGACCAGCGGGGTCCTCGTGGGCACTGGTGTCCTCAACGGATCGATGATCGCGGGGCGATATGTTTGACACTGTCACGCAAGCTCTCATCATCCTGCTGCTGGTCTTGTCCCAATTGGTCATCCTGCTCGTCATTTGGCACGCCTAAATTGGGTAGGTAACGGATGGATGCAATACCAAACGTAAAATCTTGTCCGACATCGAAGTTGGGCAGGCGATTTGCTGTCTCAAACGGGCAACGTCCGCAGCGACGCCGACATCGAGTCCTTTTCAAACATGTGCAAAAACTCACGGCCTTCGTCAACACCCTTTCCATATCCATACCTATGCCGGCCCTGCGGAATCACGGTTCCACTTTATCTGCTCCTCCTCTGGTTCCTCCTCAGAGCTGCTACTCACGGCGGGCGTGCCCCGCCCTTCTCCTCGCCCCCTCCTCTCCCCTGCTCCTGCTGCTTCCCCGTTGCTGGGGAGATGCGCTCCACGTCTCCCTGGGCGCACCAGGAGCTCGAAGAAGCGGGGGTGCTTCTCCGCGTACCTGGGCCGCGGCAGCGGAAGTGGGGAAGGCCGACGGCGCGCAACAACCACAGTGACCGTAATTGCTGATGTCGTCGCCAGTGATCGTCATCACCTGGCAACAGCAAGCGCCATCAATACGAAACAAGAGCCATCGCCGTCGCCTTCGCAAAGCCGTCGCCGTCTGCATCGCCACCTATACCCGCTCACTGTGGCACCTCTCCGTTCCATGTGCGTCATTCCACGGCACCTCTGCGGCGCAAGAAGCGCGTTGGACGAATCCCTGGGTGGTTTTCAGTGGTATGTTTGATGCCAGATAGCGCGAACTCAGACGACTCTGTTTTTTTTTCGCACTGCTATGGATGGCAATGGTTATTTGCATGGCCGCTTGAGCGCAGCAAGAGCTCGAAGCTAGCCAGAAAGAGGAGAGAGAGAGAGAGAGATGCGAGAAAGAGAGAGAGAGAAAACAGACAAATAGAGATCAGAGTGAGAGAAAGAGAGGTAGAGAAAGACATGAGAGGGCAATCTACGAGCGAGACAAAGGGACAACCACATCCCTTATGAATCGGGGCGCGGCAGAGGCAGAGGCAATCCGCACGCGCGTCCGAGTGACACCAGGGCACGAGGTAACGAATGAGCCCGCAAAGCAAGGGGGAGAGGCAGGCGGGCGGCCGCGGAGAGGGAGGAGAAGGGGGGCTGCCGGGTTTCCTGGCCGCGGGCCACGCTGGCAGCGGCTGCGGGGCGGCGTCGCACAGAACGGGCGAAGCCGGGGCAAGTGGGGGAGTGGCCGGCCGCGGCGGCTGAAGACCAGGTGGCCGACGGCACGGGGGAGAGGGCAGCGGCGTGGGGCCAGCGACGCAGTCGGCCGGCGCTGCAGCGGCTGTACGATGCCGAGGCAATGGAGGCAAGCGGCTCCGCGGCGGAGGGGGGGATCGGCCAGAGCACTCCGGACATACGGGGCAGAGAGAAAGAGGCGCCACTAGTTGCCGGCGCACGGCGTCACAGCAGGAGTGCGCGCAGCCCCGTGCAAGTGGCGCACGGGCTCGCCTGCAGAGCGAGGGAAAGGGGGGCCCAGCCGGCGGTCAGGCTGCGAGGGCAGGGCGGGGGCGGGCCGCACTGGCGGAGGCCCGAGAGGCGAACAACGACTGCGATAGGGGCGAAACCACCAGCGGCGCAGGGGCCGAAACGCCCAGGTGCGCCTTGAGGCACGGTGCGCGGGAGGGGGACGGGCTGCCAGCGGCCACTGAGCAGCAGCACGGCCTGGGGCGGTCGTGCAAGCCGAGCCGCTTGACGGGCCGGCAAGAGAGAAAAAAAGGGGGAAGGCAGCGCCAGCGGCGGCCAGAGCGGCAAAGCGGGAGGTGAATCGCAACGGCGGCGACCCCCAAGTGGCAGCGGTCGCCGCGGGCAGGGGTGGGGCCCCTGCCAGCCGCACGGGCTGCGGACGCAAGCCGAGCGGGTCGGCCTAGCCTCGTTCGCTTGGAGAGCGGCGGTGGGCCAGAGGCAGGGCGGCACGGGGGAGGCGGGAGTGGAGTGCCGCCCGGTCTCGACCGTGCAACGCCTGGCTTGGACGCTGCGCGGGCGCGCGGGCGTGGCAGAAACACCGCCTGGTCTCGCGGCCCCGGCCAGCGGCGGAGCCCAGTGGAGCAGTGCACCTAGATGATGCGCCTGCTGGTGGACACAGAGGTGCGGCGGCTCCCCGCGGTCGCAATGCGGCCAGGTAGCGGGCGGCCCACACTGGAACCTAGGCTGGTGGTGAGTACCACAGCCGGCCAGGGTGGACGCTACGCCAGGGCGGTGCCCCCATGGGTTGGAAGGTCCCGCGGATCCGGCACAGCCAGGTAAAGGGAAGCACCTGAGGATCTAACTGGTGCGCCTGCTGGTGGACACAGAGGTGCGGCGGCCTCCTGGGTTGGCAGGCTCCCCGCAATCACAACATGGCAAAGTGGCGAGCGATCCACGCTGGAGTCCAGGCAGGCGGAACAGCAACCTCCGGCCAGTGTGCACGCATCGCCAGAGCGGGGAGCCCTGAGTTGGAGTGTCCCGCTGATCCGGCACATCCAGGTCAACGGAAGCAAATAACTGGTGCGCTTGCTGGTGGGGACTTGTGCAGAGCGCCTGGGCACGGTGCCTGCGCGCATACTGTACTGCGGGCCCCAGCGGCCCATTGACGGGCGACCCCATCGGCGTGCCCCCGCCGAAGAAGTTCAACATTTTCTCTGCACGGACGGCGAGTGAGCAGCACGCGCGCTTTGAGAGACGCCGTCCGCATCAGTGATGCTCCGATACTCTCTGTCCTCCCAGCTACCTCTCTCTTCCTTCTCAGTGTTGTGCTGCCCTCACGGTGGCCCCAGGCCCTCCTTGATTGGCCTGGTGCGTGCCCCCTCTTCTCCCAGCCTGGAGCTCGGAGGAACAGCGCTCATAGTAAGCACCCCTACAAGTGATGCCCTTCAGCCAACGAAGCCGCAGTAAGAAATCGAACGGGCCAAACTGTGGAGTAAATGCGGAGGGTTGTTTTTAGCACGGGGGATGGGACGAACGGGGGGGGTAACTAACAAATGGGGTTGGCTAACGACTCGGCTCCACGCAGCTGGTTTTTCCAGCTCCCTCTGGCACAGGAGGCGCCCAGGCGTCGAGGAACGTGCATGCAGGCGGGGACGAAACGAGCTGCGTGCAGCGGACTTGTTTCACCCCCCCCCCGTCCCAATTTGTTACGTGGGGCCGCAAGGTCGCGCCGCACCGCCGATGCGTCGCCGAGGCACCGGCAAGAAGAGCACCGCGCTCCACGAGGCCCCCGACACGGGGACTCTGTGAACTTCGAGAAAGGCCAAAGCAGTGGCGCGCCCGAAAGCTGCAGCCGTAGGCCGAAGCATCATGGTCCGTGCTCCGTTCTCCCCAGGCGGAGACTCCAAAGTCCAGGCCAGCAATATCTGGCGGCGCGCAAGCGGGGTGTTGGGGGGGAGGGCGAAAGGCTTCTTAGTAGGAGGCTGCTTCATAGAAGACGCCGGCCTTACATCTCGCCTTCTGAGAAGCAGGGGTGCTTCCAAGAAGCCTTCCCTCCTGCCCCTACACCCCCTTTGCGCGTGGCTGGAATGTCCTGATTGAGGGGGCCACTGAGCTCTCGATGGCTGGGGGCATCGGCGGCGCGGCGCGAGCCTCCGACCACAACTGCTCGGACCCCACTTGGGAGTCCTGGAGTGCCGCCCCACCACTGAAGATCTACTGACCCGGGTCAATCCAGACATGGGTCAGTCAGGCGTTGCAGGATCCTGCAAGATCCTGCCGGATCCTGCGCCCACCTGCAAGATCCAGCGCTCTGACTGACCCCCGTTTGCGTTGGCCTCCCGTCTCTTGAGCCCCAACATCCCAGCGCCGGCAGCTGGCCAGGGCTCACTCTGTGATCTGCTGGTCCGCGCCCAGCTGTGGAGCCAGACGGACGAGGGCGCTGAAGACGCTGATCACGTCCTTTCTGACCTGGCCAGGGGGGGGGGGAGCAGCGGCAGCGCTTCGGCAGTGCCAGGCCCAGGCGGCGCAGCCCTGCATCGCAGCGGGGAATCCATGAACAGGTTCGTGGACCTCAACCTGGGCCAGGTCGAGGTCCACGAACCTGTTTGTCGCCGCGTTGTGGGTCACATCACGTCGAGGCCAGAGCGGGCCACGGGCCAGCAAATCGTTTTTCTATTCCACTGGGTGGGGGGAATAGGAATGCGGAGCGCGACCATCCCTGCTCGATGTGCAGCGGCAGAAGCAAAACAGCTGTCTCGGAGGAGGCAGGACGAGAACGACGTACGACACACGTGTGGCCTATCTGGAGAACTCCGACGCCGTGTGTTTTTCACAACGTTGACCCAAGACTGCTTTGGGGGCCCCGAGAGGGGCCCCAGGATGCCGAAAATGCCCCAACCATCCCCCCCCCGTCGTGCTTTTCCCAACCATACTGTGCTGTTGGGTCCTCGTTTCGGAAACGCAACGCCCCGCGTCACTCCCCACCTTCCGCTGCCCTGCCATATCCCCTCTCCTCCCGAATGTCATTGTTCCGGCACACCAATCACGCGTTTCATTATCTCATAGGGAGCTCCACCTCAGGCCACAATGTCTACGTTCGGACGCAATCCGCGCCGCACATGTTGGCACCCCTCGCACGTTTCGTGGCTCCACAAGGAGCTCCACCGAAGACCCCAATGATGACGTTCGCATCCGTCCGCGCCGCATATTTCGGCACAACACTCACACGTCTCGTCGCCCACGGGGCGCCCCACCGAAGGCACCTGTGGCTGCGTTCGGTTCGTGGCGCCCTACATGAAGATCCGCCGAAACCCCAGTGACTACGTTCGCATATGATGATGATGGTGAATGAAGCAAACTAACCAAGGAATAGCTCCATTGATATAAGACTAATCACCACCATCTGGTCCAGCAGCTGGGCCAGCATGGCGTAGTCGCTGTGCAAAAACTTCAGCAATAATACGAAGTCCCAACTCACCAGCTGTCTTCGTCATCCTTGCTCGCATCATAACTGTCTTAGCCTGGCCAATCACAATCCAACCAGTCTTTGACGTAACTCTGAATACACTTGTCCAGGAAAATACCTGGGCGCCATTTGTTGTGGCACAAATACCACGAGCTGCTTGATGGTATGAGCATACGGCCCATAAATCTCTGCCAGAAAGAAATATGCTGAGCAACTTCTTCTTGGCGTCATCCTGGCCTCGAAATGCACCCAGGACACGATGATCATCACGGGGATCACACTCGAGTAGTAGTCCCCGCTGTTCTGAATACCTGATACACATGATGCCAAAGGTCGCCGCGTATGCACTCTGTGAGTGCTCCAGAAACTCCGACCACGCCCCAGTCTCAAATGCCAGTAGAAGTGAGTAAAACGCTGCACCATATCTGAAAAGAAGGTGTATTCTTGGAGCCCACCACCTGCCATGTTCCCACCACTTCATAAACGTTCTGATGATAACCCTGAGCTGTAGCAGAGGTACTCCATCAGGAAGAGGTGCATTCACAGGGGCAACCCAATACCATAACGGTCGTATGTACGAACAAACCAGGCAATATTGAACATCTGAAACTCCTGAACTGAACTTCAGCGTCTCGAAGGCCTGGTACACTTGTTGCCATCCCTTCCTTGGGAGGGATGAATACTCAGGATCAGCTGGCCGGCATTTTACCCCAAGATGTTCAAAGGCACGCAAGGGGTCATCATCTCGGCTCCAATCATGACGTTTGATCTGGTTCTCAGCTAAACCACCATCTTGATCAAGCTTGATCGTGAACTAAAACTTCTCATCCACGATGGCACTTGTAGCATTTATCAAGCTGCGGCCGTCCATGTAGTCCACTCCAAGGTATGTAGACTGCTGACGTGTCTCCTGGGGCGCAATAATATTGGCAACGTCATCTGCCATGCTATCTTCCAGGGTAACTTTGATGGTAGGAATATGTGTCGAGGTAGATACCATGGTCTCCTCACTTGAATACGTGAAACTTTCCACAGAAACTCGAGTGAAACGTTCAACAGAAACTGCACTTGAATACGTGAAACTTTCCACAGAAACTTGGTGATACCCTCCATGCACCTTGGGTAACTGCAGGCACTCGTGGAGGTACGTGGTGTTGCTGCCACCGATGCTGGCGTGTGAAGCCTCCCCTGCCACTGCCCAGCCTTCGTCCTCGACGAAAGGCCGGTTAGGCGCAAGCGCCCACCCGTGACAGGGGAGGAGTCCACTCGTACTCGTGAAACTTTCCACAGAAACTCGATGAGGCCTGCCCTGCACCTCCTCGTACTTCAGGCCCTCGTAGGGGCGCATGATCCAAATCGCTTTAATATATGGGACCACCCCTGCCACTGCCCAGCCTTCGTCATCCACAGAAGGCCAGTGGGGCGCAAGCTCCCATCCGTGACAGGGGAGACCACCACTCATACTCATCATACTTCCCTCTGGAACTTGATTGTGGCTTCCTTGCACTCCGAAGAAATTCAGGTGCTCGTGGGAGTACATTGTGCTGCTGCCACTTGTGCTGGCAGCTGGGGGCCCACCGTGGGCCACAGTAGACCCCTTGGATATTTGTCACTCTTTAGCGGCAGCAGGTCGGCGTCGCACTGCAGCAGCAGCTGGTCGCCTGCGCGCCCAGCCTCGTGCACGCGTCGCCTCCCGCTTCTTGGCCGCCTTCTTCCTCTCCGCCAACTTGCGCCTGTAGGCCGCGAAGGTGCGCTGCCCTGGTCTGTTAAAGTAGTCCTGCTGCCACTTCCTCAGGTACTCCTTGTTCTCTGGCTTCTCGTGCCACTTCCTACGGTTGGCCAACGTCTGCCTGTAGCGTTTCGCCCAGACATCCTTGCCATGAAGTCGCTCCTTCACGTCGTTGGCCTTCATAGTACGATCCACCCGCTTTGCACAAGGTTCAAGCTTAAGCTTGGCAATCGTTCTCTGCACTCCACATCTCGTGCACGAACAGTACGTATCAGTCTGCCTCTTTGTCTGTCTGGTAGTCGCACTTGCTTCCACCACATGGCAGACATTTGGCTTGAAGTCCGCGTCAAGCTTGTCATACCACTCACAGTAGCGTAACCAAGCTCTTTGCCGAACAGCACGATTGCGCCCAGGTATAGCAAACTGTCGATTTGCCTCTCCTTGAGCCTCCTTCGTCTTCCCAGGGGGCGTGGTCCCGACACAATATCGCCAGTGGACCCTTGCCTCCTGAGCTCTTTCACAAGCTTGCTCACGCGTAGGGAGCCAGCCACAGCTTGGGCACTTCAGGTGGGCAGACCGTGAGACATCCACCGGCGTGCATGGCTCGAGGTCCGCAGCTTCATCAGGAACAACCTCAGCAGGACCTGCCGCTGATGCACTTGCTCTGGACTTGTGTCGTGACTTTGGCGTGACGCCAAGGAAAGACCTCGCCCTCTTGACCTCTGACGTGGTAGATGCAGCTGAGATACCAAAGAAACTCCTCGCCTCGTCCTCGTCAAAAGCGTCGTCTTTGTGGCTGCTGGATGCTGCCACACTCTTGCCTCCTCCAGTGAAGGCATCTGGGTGCGATAAGGCCGCTTCACACCATTGTTGAGCAACTTCTTTTGTGAGCGACGACTTGGGACGTAGCAGTTGGTAATGCTGATCTTTCAACATGACCCATGCCACTTTGCTGTGCTTCTTGGGGCTGGTGTACAGGGTCCACCTGCCCCCTGTAGTATCTGGATTGAATTTCCAAATCCGAATATCAACTTTTGCGGCAATAGAAGTACACCTGATTGTGAGGGAATCAGCCATCTTGCCACACGTTCCAATTCTTGAAATATCTGCATCAGTAGCTCCATACTTCTGCTTGTTCTTCTTAACTTCTCCCGCCACCAGAAGGCGCAGGGATTGCTGGACACGTCCTCCAGGTACCAGCTCATTGGCAGGGGCGGGCTTGTGTCCAGGCTTGAGTTCATGAAGTCCAAGGCCCACAGCAATATAAGCACAATCACCTTGGCCTCCATTGTCTTGTACATCACAGTGCTCCTTCCACGGCGGGTCTGGAGTAGCTGTTCTTGCCTGCTTGGCCGCTCGAGCCCTTGCAGGGTCTGCTTCGGCTGGTCGACGACTGGGCTGGTCACCTTCAGCCCCTTCAGCAGCAGCAGGAGGTGAAGCTGCTGGTGGGTCTGGAGGTACCTCATCATCTGGCTTGTCCTCTTCGTGCGTGGTGAACGAAACCTTTGGCGGCGCCACTCCCCACGCACTCTGAGCTTTGACTCCTTGCGGTCGTTCACGATCTTTACGTTGCGGAGGCTTCGCTGGTGTAACAATAACCCCGCTGCTGAAATTGTATGCTTTATCATTATGCGAGCACGCTGCAGCAAGATCTCCTCTGAAGAACCAAGTGCGTCGTCCCGTGCGTGTAGGTGATGTCACATTCGTCCATCCCCTCTGAATGGCCCAGGCTAACAAATCCTCGGGCGCTGCCCACTCTGGCGGTGCACGCTGGACCGCCCACCTCGGAAGAAGATCCGATCCAACCTGCTTTTCACTTAGCACCCCCAACGGTGCATCATCACTCGGGCGGTACAGAAGGCGGCCGGTCACCGTGGCTGCAGCTACCACCACTCGGCTCCAGTACTCGTCAATGGACTCGTCCTCCCTTTGTTTGAACCATCTCGGCATAATCTTAGATTGCTGGTAGTTGCAGAAGATCCCCCTCGGGAGCTGCTCCTCCAGGAACTTGGAAATGGCGTCTGTCTTGATGATCAAGAGCATCGTGATCTGACTTTCACAGTTCAGGGCTCCCTTTGTACGGACAATATGTTTGCATAACTCTGCATTGAACACAATTGAAGGGAGGCTGGCTGGCTTCTGCGATGCACGTCCGAAAACGTCGTCATCAGCGAACTTTTTGGCACACGTCAGTCGCACCACCGTAGTAGGAGACCGCGGGGCCTGATATTCATCATCGTCTTTGACTCCCTGTGGTAGTCCCTGGCGCCTGGG